GCACTCGGAGCCCTCTGTGGGCATATGTGCTGTTGTCCCAGCCCCCCCTCCCCCCACGGCCCCCTCCACACCAGCAGCCCCCCCAGAGGAGAGTCGCCCCCAGGCACAGCCCGCCTGCAGCAGTGCAGCCAAGGACATGGCAGCCGGGCAGTGGGGACAAGACTCCGCCCTTGCGCCCCATCGCAAACCCTGCGGGGCACGGGTGGAGGGCGTGGCCGCCATGGCGCTACTGGACCGCCTGGGCGATCTGCGGTGGGCCGTGGAGGTGGCGGGAGGCCCTGCAGGTGGGTGGGGGTGGGGCAGGGATGGAGCAGGGGTGGGGAGGTGCAGGAGTGGGGCAGGTTTTGGGCACTCGGTGTCTAAAAGGTTCGCCAGCACTGTCTTAGATCTTAACAGGGGTCCATTTCCCCAAGAGATTTCTGAGTCCAAGATGGCTTTAAAACAAAAAAAGGTTTGAGTCATCCTGGTATTCCTTTGATGAGTTTATATGTACATATAAAGTATATGCATACAAATTAATATTTCATTATTAAACAGCGTAGGAGAAATTAAAATATTTTGAAATAAAAACGAACAGCTCTTATTAAATGCCTGAGCAGGGGGTTGGATTAGATGACCTCCAAGGTTCCTTCCAATATTACTATTAATAGTTAATAATTTATTATTATTATTATTATTATTATTATTATTATTATTATTACTACTACTACTACTACTACTACTACTACTACTACTACTACTACTACTACTAGCTGTACCCGGCCACGCGTTGCTGTGGCTCAGTCTCAATGCGCCATTGTGCATTCATCCCAAACAATAAGTTTGCATTTCTGCAGTACTTTTCTCATGCCGGATGCTTTGGAAATGTTGCACGTGGGAGTTTCAATGAATTGCATGTTCAATGGCAATTTCAAAGCGTCCAACAGATGGCGCTGTTTTTCAAAAAAAGCATGTTTTTACCTGTCACAGGTGTGACATCTATATACTATAGGTATATAAAAACACGCGCGTATTCGAATGCAATGTTGTGTCAAAATTTCAAAGCAATCGGTGAAGAACTTTCGGAGATTTAAGATTTTGAATAGATTATATAGATTATCATCATCATCATCATCATCACCATTTTCTGTCATTGTTCTGAAAAGCTTAGCGGGGTGTGACAAATAGCATGAAAGTCAAATTAGGAAGAGGACAAATGGAGCCATTTATTGAGTCACAGCAAATAAATAGCAGGCAGGCTAGTCTGAATACAAAATATGTAATTATTACAGCAGCATAGAGATGAAGAAAAATGAATAAAATACAATAAAGAGCCGTGGGGCCGTTAGAATGCAGCACTGGAGGCTACTTCTGCCAACTGCCGGCAGTTCAATTCTCAGCAGCTCACGGTTGACTCGGCCTTCCAGCCTTCCGAGTTCAGTAAAATGAGGACCCAGATTGTTGGGGGGGGGGGCAAGAGCATAAGCCAAGACTACCTTTAGACACGATGTGGGAACTTCCAGGATTGTCCCCCCCCCGAAATCCCTGGAGAGGAAGCCCCCCCTGCATGGAGAGTTTACAGCCAAGTAGCATCTAGGCATCTGGGCATCTTTCTGGATAATGTTTGTGTTTCATTTCCCCCCCAGGCCCTTTGCCTCCAATGCATTGGGGGGGGGAGGCATGTGATGGGGAACCCTCTTGTGTCACCAGAGCAGAAATTGTGCCCAGTTGTCAAATGTCATCTTTTTGGCCCAGCTGCCGACCTGGGGACTTAAAGGCCCCCCCCTACCCCATTCCCTCCTGCATGCCAGCATCCGTGAAGAGTAGCTGCAGCCTTGGCAAAGATTTCCTGGTGGGCAGTGAAGCCACAGCTACTTCACTGGCAAAGGATGATGTGGCCAGAAGGTGTGTGTGTGTGTGTGTGTGTGTGTGTGTGTGTGTGTGTGTGTGTGCACTATGGCCGAGACAGAAAGTTGTACATTTTGTCTCTGATGAGAAGAAATCTGCCCTGCCTGTCCAAAGTCTAGTTCAAAAGTGAGATATTTGTTAGGTGTGTTTGCCCCGTTTTATGACTTTTCTTCTTATTAAGTAAATCATTGCCATTGATAAGTTAGTAACCCGGTCGTTAAGCGAATCTGGCTTCCCCCATTGACTTTGCTTCTCAGAAGGTCCCAAAAGGGGATCACATGGCCCCAGGGCCTTGCGACCGTCATAAATAGGAGTCAGTTGCCAAGCGTCTGAATTTTGATCACGTGATCCTGGGGATGCTGCAACGGTTGTAAGTACGAAAAAGGGTCGTAAGTCGCTTTTTTTTTCAATGACGCAACTTTGAACGGTCACTAAATGAACTGTGGTAAGTCGAGGACTGCCTGTAGGTAGGGCAAGGAATTGATGGCTGACATTTGATTCCCATCATTATAAAAATACTATCGTTATCGCCCCTAGTCCTTCTTTATGAGAGGCTGAATGTATGTATTTCCCTCAACTGTTCAACATACAACTTAGCCTCCAGATCTTTAATCATATTTGTTGCTCTTCTCTGCACACATATTTTTTTGTATCATGGTGACCAGAACTGGACACACTATTTCAAGTCTCATCTGACCAGTGTGGTATAAAGTGGCATTTGCACTTCTCATGATCTTGAAACTATCCCTCTGTTAGTGCAGCCTAGGATTGTGTTGGCTTTTTTGGCAGCTGCCGCACACGGGGCTGGCTCATGTCTAAGGGATCGTCCACTAGGATACCTGGATCCCTCCCACAGTTACTCCTGCTGAGCCAGGTACCGCCTATTCTGTACTTATGCGTTTGGTTTTTCCTACCTAAGTGCAGAATCTTACTTTTCTCAACAATGAGCTGCATCTTGTTAGAATAGGGCCTGGTGCTCCAGTCTGTCGAGATCCTTCTGGATTGTGAACCTATCTTCTAAAGTGTTGGCTACTCCCACCAACTTGGTGTCTTCTGAAAATCTGATGAGTTCCCCTTCTATCCCCTCACCCAGGTCGTTCATCGCTGATGGAAAAGAGATTTCTTTTCCGTGTATTTTAAACGGATAATGGATGGAAACTGATGGGAGAGATTCAACCTAGAAATAAAGAGAAATCTTCTGACAGTGAGAACAATCAACCCATGGAACAGAAGTTGCCTTCAGAAGTTGTGGGAGCTTCATCACTGGAGGCTTTCAAGAAGAGACTGGACTGCCATCGGTCAGAAATGGTGTAGGGTCTCCTGCTTGGGTGGGTGGGTTGGACTAGATGACCTACAAGGTCCCTTCCAACTCTTGTCTATTCTATTCTACTCTATTCCATTCCATATTATTCTATTCCATTCCATTCCATATTATTCTATTCTATTCCATTCCTTATTATTCTATTCTATTCTTTATTTCTATTCTATTCTGTTCTATCCCATAATTCTATTCTTTTTCTATTCTATTCTATTCTATCCCATAATTCTATTCTATTCTATTTCATTTCTATTCTATATTTCTATTCTATTCTATCCCATAATTCTATTCTATTCCATATTATTCTATTCTATTCTATCCCATAATTCTATTCTATTCTATTTCATTTCTATATTTTATTCTATTCTGTCCTATCCCATAATTCTATTCTATTCCATATTATTCCATTCTATTTCATTTCTATTCTATATTTCTATTCTATTCTATCCTATCCCATATTTCTATTCTATTCTATTCTGTTGTTCTATTCTATTCTATCCCATAATTCTATTCTATTCTATTTCATTTCTATTCTATATTTCTCTTCTCTTCTCTTCTATCCCATAATTCTATTCTATTCTATCCCATAATTCTATTCTATTCTATTCTATCCCATCTTAATTAATTATACAGCGAAAAAAAAAAATAATATTTGGTTTTTAATAGGTTTTTATGGGGGGACGATGTTTTATGTGTTTTAATATGCTGTAAGCCGCCCTGAGTCCTATAGGGAGAAGGGCGGCATATAAATCCATGTAAATAAATAAATAAATAAATAAATAAATAAATAAATAAATAAATTTCTATTCTATTCTATCCTATCCCATAATTCTATTCTATTCTTATTCTATTTTAAACCTACATCCAATATATATCCAATATATTCACTTGCCTAGAATGTATTTCTCTTTAAGGTGCTGTTCATCCCAGGCAGACGGAACGAGAAAGAGAAGGAGGGGGGGGGGAAAACCCAAGAAACACCCAATAGAAAGTTTAAGACATATATTTTTTTTTTTAAAAAGAGAAAAATCTGCCACGGCAGATTGGAAGGATCCCTCAGGAAGAGATAGGAAGCAATTCCGGCTTGTGATCTTTTTATTGGTCCGATGTTTCCTCTCCCAGGGACGAGAGCGTCTTCCTTGCCTAATCCTTTTTGATCGAGGAAAGCGGGTCTCAAAAGGAGAAGACACGGGTGGGGAGCTGTCTTAGAGGAAAAACAGCCTTTCCCCACCCCCCACCCCTTTTCAAACCGGGAAAAGTTCTCAATTGGCAAAGAAGGACCCTCCATGAGCTGAGCTGCCCCTTCCTTCTCCGGCTTCTGGCAATCTCCCTGGATAAGGACAGTGTCCGGTCCGAAGGGCCCTCAATTCTTCTTGGTCTTGGGGGTGTCGTACTTCCGCTTACTCGAGTACCACAGCAGCAACGGGATGCCGATGGAGGGCAGCGTCATGACGCCAAAGGCTGCCCAGTCCAGCTTGACAAAGAGATGGAAGCAGAGGAGTGAGC